TGTTCATCCACAGAAAAAGAGCAGCAGTATATAAGCTTCTTCAATGGGCTCCATCAAGGTACCTCAAACCTTCTCTGGAATGATCTGGAATGAGTGGCTGGCTATTCAGTTCTTAGCCTCTCCGCCTAGGGCGCCAGCAAGGGTGCTGGTTGCAAAGATGTTTTTTGATGTGGAACAGGATTGAGCCTGTGACCTCATTTCTCGTAGGTAATTAGATAGTAATGGCTTTCAGTCACTACTGACCCAGAATGGATATGAAACTGTGATTCAGAGCTGAAAGGCTCTGTATGCCATTGCCAATACTGTGACACAATCATGGACTGACACAGTATCAAGTTATAAAAACAGGATACTGAACCTGTTAAGGTAGGAATGCATACAAGACTTACCAGGTTCTGTGTTTATTGCCACCCATTCCAGTTGTTCAGTGACTTTGTAATTCAATATTAACTGTTAGATCAGGAACACATCCATAGGATGCCATTAAATGCCAGGAAATGTTAATAATAAAAAGGTAACATGGTCTCATTGATTAAGATTGCATTACTAACTCTAAATCAAGGACACTGCATTAACTATTTGTGTGCAATCCAGATGTATGTCTAGGCAAGAACACTATTATACATCTTTTATGGAAAATCTGGTGTGTGCTACAGTTTGTGCCTGATGATAATGCAGTCAGAGTAGAATATGCTTTCTAAATTGAGCTGTTCTGCTTTGCCAGGTATTTTTGCATGGCAAATCATCCTGAGCCTATGCCATTTTCTTCTCTGTGTTTTATACTATTTAAATTTGCATTTCATAATATCAACTCAGATTAATTTTGCATGCTTGTGTGAAATCGGACACTTGCTTTGGGTACTATTGGCTTTAGAGTAATTAATTGTTTTTAAATGAACATTTCCCCCCCCCCCCTTTAAATAGCAGTGTTAATGGGGAGGCAGAAGATTAAGTTAAGGGGACTGTTATTAGGTACAGTAAATGAGTTGGGGTTTTTTGTGGCAGGTCTGTCTTAAAAACATGGTTTATATTCTGTACATATAAAAAACCGTTGAAATTTCACTTAATTCTTGCAACTTATTCTGCTATTCCTTGTACAAAAAGGCACACACATTATGAATAACATAATTATGGGCTCCTTTCTTTTTTGTAGACTGAACACAGAAAAGAAAAAACACACATATTAAAGCAGGGAAGGGAAGCCAGAGTTACCTTCTGGACTTCACACTGCCTTTGGACACAGCTACTTTCAAACTGTAGGCAAACAGCTTTGTAGAAATTGGGTTATTGAAACAAAATGTGTGTGCCAAAATAAGGTCTTACACCAGTAACATAGCAACTGTAGGCACAAACTCACTTTTGGCCAGAAAAATGGCAAGAAAATAAACCATTAACATGCAAAGGGACTTGTTCATTCCCAGTCTAATAATGCTGGTTATCCACAAGAAAGGGAAAAAACTGTGTGATGTTACTTGACTTATTCCAACCTAAAAATCACAATGATTACTGCCACTCATATAATAAAAATAAAGGAAAAATGAAACAGTAGTATTTATAGTTACTTAAATTCCATAATATTTAAGTAATGTGTTAACCATAAAAATGAATAAATGATGGTAACAGATTATTTTATTATTTAAGTGAATTCAGTCAAACTGTTTCAAACCCCCCCCCGTTCCCCCGACAGAATGATGTAGGCAAAATATGTGGTTTGGCTCCTGACCCTTATGCACTGAAGTAAATATTCTTCATGCAGTAAAGCATTTTGGAAACTAAAGCTATCTATAAGAATAATAAAATCACAATGACTTTGTTGCTCAGTATGAATGCTATTGGAAATCATAGATATTTCAGATAAGTTTTATTGATGATTGCAATTGCAATCACCTTTCATTTCCTTTAGACATTTCTCTCCAGTAATTTATAACGTAGGGTCCAATCCTGATACTACTGGACACAAGGGTTGCCAATTTGGATTGGACGTATTCCTGGAGGTTTCATCACATGACATAATCTTTAATTAAAGATTAATCTTTAATTCCTGGAGACTCCAGGACAATCCTGGAGGGTTGGTGACCCTAGACAGTACGTACTGCTGTTTAAAGGCAAATCCACTGATTTCAAGGTACAGCAGTGAAAACCAAGTAGGAGATCCAGCATGCTATACATTCTTATGGATATAAGAATGCTACTTTTCAGTACACCTCCCATTCTTCAAATTCTAAGGAAAAAAGCAGTGGTAGGTGATAGTGTTCACACTTTGAGGGAATTTTTTTGATGACTTCTCAAATTTGTAACTTTTGCATTTTAAACCTTCACAGTTCATTTACATCTGACCTATTGAGACTGAGCTGAAATAATTTTTTCTATTTCGTACAAAAACCCATAGTGTCGTTATGATTCAGAATTGAAATGCAAAGCTTTGGTTTACGTTGGAACTCTGTCCCCGTGCATGTCTGCAAAATTACTGATGGGGAGGGGCTGACTTTGAGCCTTCCCGATCTTGTGCTGCTCCGGCGGCGGAAGAGGCACCTGATGTAACTCCCTGGGGCCTGTCTAACTTAAAGGGATCCGGAATCTTCAATGCACCTACCAGTCCCGACACACTTCTCACACCAGGCCTTCTAAGCAGATCCCTGGTGAGAACTAGGGCTTTTGTAGCCTCTTGATGCTGCTCTGGCCCTTTTGCCCAGCTTGGACCAGGGGGTTAGGCGCTCAGCCCAGATTATGAGTTCAGCTCCCATTCAACGCGCCAGGATCTTGTGAGTATCTGGACCCAGTTGTGGGTGTTGAGCACTTTTGAAAGTCTGGCCCTAAATCTCATCTTATTCCATACAGTATATGTTCAGTGTGGTTACAGGCAGGGCCATAACTTTGAAATCCATGGCTTACATGCATTTAAATCCTCTGCCAGAATGTTACATTGAAAAGCTCTTTTGCACTGAATTTCTTTGGTTTCTGAAAAGAGAGGAGAAGAAGAATCAATATGCCGCTCTCTAAAGATAATGCATTGAAATAAATGCATGTTAGTCAGCGTGAGAGTTTGAAGTGTCGTCTTATTGGCGAAAGGCTTCGTCACACTATATTTCGTTTTCTAGGGGGGAGCCATACTCGGGTGTTAGCCTCAGTCAAAGCCTATTTCTGCCATTTTAAGAATGCCACCGTGCCTTTGCTCTCGCACGCTGATGTGACACCTGCGATGCATAACTTTGTGACTTTATGGTTGGATCACAGCAATGTTACACATTATATACTGGGTTACTTTTCATCCGAGTCTGGTATCTGGAGTTGATGCAGAAGGCTGCACCATGTTGACTGATTGGGAATTAATGTAAGAGATTTTGCTCAGCTTCTTGTTTGCTTCTGTACTTATCTGTACATTTCTGTGCAAGCCTAGTATTAGGCTTTACTTGTAGAGGGGAGCTCTCAGAAATGCAGCTAGGGGTTTGCCTGTCATACACATACCAGCCCCAGCAGCTCCCAGGGATGCTGGGCAGGCTGTGCAGAAAAGGTTGTACTTGGGGCTGTATTCCCTGTATTCTTTTCCTAACCCTCTCATCCTACCACCTGAACCCTGCCTCATCTGGAGCCCCCCCCCAACCCACATGGGGAAAGGGCTGTGCTGAGTTCAGCTGGGAGGGGAGATGGTGCTGCTGAGGTGGCTGGTTTGTCCTCTACCCCTCACTCCCCAAGGAAGCACTGTGATCCAGGTGCAGAGAACCCCTCTGCACTTGGTGGAGTCGGGGGTGCACGGCCTGTCCAGTATTCCCACATTGGGATGTCTCTGTGTAACTCAGATACTTGGATGCAAAGTGACTAAATCGTACCATAGGGGAGAGAATATTGAACAACACTGAAGAAAGATTGGTTGCATAATGATTGTTTATAGTCACCACCTTGCCTGGTACATACGTTTTTATATAGGCATTGATGGTTTATATTATGCCTTTGAAAGTAGGTGGCAGATTGCTCAAAATATAATATCCCATTGGCGATACCAGTGAAAAAACAAATAGTCTGCATATGCGTTTTTTCCACATGTTCACTGTGCCCAGTCACTCTGCCAAACAGAATATAGGCTGCTGCTCTCTGAGCTAAAGGAAGTTTGAAAGCTCAAGGCTTTATTTTTTTTTTCTCCCCAAGAGGATTTTTTAAAGACTGTCTTCCCCTTGATTACACTGCTTACTTCTCTCACCATTGGTTGCTGTGATTTACATTCAAGTAATCAGAAGATGACTTTTTACCACGTGATCATGAACCTGATTCTCCTTTCACTCCTACCCGCCTGTTTTATGCTGATGTAAATGATTCCAGTGAGTTTAGTCCCAGTTAATACTAGTGTCAGTGAAAGCAGAGTTAAGCCTTACATCTGTAAGTCCAGTTCACAGCCCTCCCAAGAGAAAGGTACAGAGAGGAGGGGTTTGAATGACCTGTTCATCCACAGGAATCAATAATTAGGAGGTTGAATGGCATGCAGTTGTTTAGGGGGAGTGTCCAGGTGACTGTAGTCCAGTAAAATTAAGGCCCAATCCTGTAAGGTGTTGAGCACTTCCTGTGGGATGCTGAGCACAGACGAATTGAAGACACTTGGCACTGAAGACACTTGGCACTGGATTCATCAAGTCATAAATCTCTGTATTAATAGCTAATTAAAATATCAGTCTTACTCATTACATACAAATGCTAGAATTCCTGTAAAACTTGTGCCTTAGGCATGTATTTTGGTGTGTGTGTGTGTGTGTGTTTGAGAGCTTGTCTATGCACAGGTCAAAATACTCAGTAGCTAGAAATATTCTGGATCCAGTGTAAAGCCCAAATAAAAACAAACTCAACAATGATTTTATTTTACGGTGCAGTAATCTCTCTGTGTTACGTTCAGTTGCTGGCAGTTGTACTCTTCACACATCTTTAAAATGTCAGTAGACGCTTATCAATGTATCGAGTCAGGAAAATGGATTTTTGACATACTTTGTGCTCTTCCTCTCCTCCCTCCTCACCAGGCTGGAATGATAAGAACTGATAAGGATGAATATTTCATTGAACCTTTGGAAAGAGGCAAACAAATGGAAGAAGAGAGAGGAAGAATTCACGTGGTCTACAAGAGATCAGCTGTAACACAAGATCCCGGCGACATGCTCCTAGACTTCCATACGGAAGGTACAGCAGATGTCCATGGTTGCTTAGAAATCTATTCCAGATAGCTATAGCTTCTTCCATTAACCTTTGAAAAAAGCAATTTTGACTAAGATAGATGAAAAATAAATAAAATAATGTGTCACTGAAATCTTTCCTCGGTTACATATACACAGTGTGCCCTGATGACAACAACAGGTGTTCATGCATATTTGACAGCAGAACTTGGCCATGCATTTTTTTTAAAAGAAATGTTGCAAAATACTTTGCTCTTTAGAAGCCTGCTCTCATTAAAGTCAATGGCAAAATTCCTATTGACTTCAGCGGAAGCAGCAATGCGCTCTACATAATGTGAGAAGATATTGTGGGATATTTCATGTAACTAGAAATGCTCACTCACATAAATTTAATATCCCACACAGCTCACAAAACTTTTGTTTAAACTTTTGGGGTTTTGTTTCTTTTCCCAGTGATGGCTATGTTGTACAAATGGCTGTGATTTTTAAACCCTCTACTGAACGTGATTAATGCAATTTCAAAATAATTGGTTTGATAGGATATGTTTTTACATAACCAAGAGTTGCCCTCAATTTTCAAGCCAATGTGGTTGGTCCATCTGAAAATAATTATTGTGCAGTCTTGTCCGTTAGACTTTTTTTCTCTTTAACTTTTTACAAATGCTTGAGGGCCCAAGACATAGAGGAGCAAATAGCAACTTTTTTTCAAATAAGGCTGGAACCATTGAGGTGGACCACAAGCTGGAGATTTTAAAAAAGGCTTTTGTTTTTCAAATGTATCAGAGAAACAGCTTTTTGATATTAGTGAGCTGTCTAATCCAGGGCTTCTCAACCTGGGTGGGGTGGGGGGTAGAGAACAAGTTTCAAGGGGTTGGGACTCCACTTTTTCTTAATGTTTAGAGGAAGGTGGGGGGCCCAGACATTTTCCGATTGTAAGTTGTGTGGTGGTACAGTATGGAAAGGATGAGACCCACTGCTCTGAACCACCGGTTGTTGAAATGTCTAGCTGTGGAATACATGTTCATGGACAGAATGGGAGGATAGTGGTGATCTCAAGTTGACCCTCTTGAAAACTTCAAGAGATTCTTATTTTCATTTTGATACCACAGTTTTCTTATTAAAGGGTAGGGAAAACTTGTTCCCTTTCAATGCTCTAACTTTTCTCCCCACCATCTTTCAGTTTTCCATCCTCCCCCAATTGTCTATGCACCCATACCCCAATAACAAGGCATAAATCTGTGCTTGTAATTAACCAAGCCATGAGAGGTACTGTTTATGGAAATGGAAAAACCAAGGTAGGTAAAATCTTTGGCAGGCAGACAACAAACACTGCTGCACAGCAAGTCGTCACAGAGTTCAATTGTTCATTGTGGGTTGGCAGCTTCTCTCCAAAAGATAGCAGCTTTATACCTAATCCCAGCTGGTTTCTACCAAGTTGAACAGCACCTTACCTCTTAGCAAGCATCACAGGCTGATTTACAGAGAGCTCAGCAGCACCTCAGTGTATTGTAAACTATTTGCAAACCAGTCTAACTGAATCTGAGGAGGGTCAGAGCCAATGCATACTTGATGATAAAGGAGCAAGATGTGGAGCAGCTGGATCTGGTGAGCTTATGGAAACAGGCTCAGCATTGCATTCCCCAAGCAGCCCTCCTAGGATGCTAGGCATGATCCATACAAGTCCTGTGCTAGATCAGGTTGTTGCAAGCTTAGGAGTGCAGTAAACTCCACTCCATGCAGCTGCTGCCAGAGGAGGGGAAATGGGGATAGAGACTGGGGTCTCTCTGTTTTAACTAAACTGGAAAATTGGTTGCTTCATTTGGAGGCAGGGAGGGACACCTGGGGGTAGTGTACTGCAGCCTGTCTCCTTTCCAACTGCCAGATGGTGGTGATGGGGTTGCCTAACTTAAGATTCCTCTAGCTGGCTGTCAGTCAGACAGGAAAAACCACTATCCTTTCCTTTCCCCCCAGACCTGAAGTTCTTACTTTGTATGTTCAGAACTTCTCAGAAGCCCACAGTCCCCAGCTGGGAAGGAATGAAAACTTGCTCCCATAGGAGGGGAAAAGTTGGGCAATTGTGTAAGCAGTATCTAGGGGTCAGATGTGACGGGGAGGGAAAGTGCTCCGCCCACAAAATAAGCTCTGCCCACATGAGATGCTACTCACAGTAGATTGCACAGATGTTCAAAACGTGACCACGTGTGCGATCTGCGTTGATTGAACTTCGCTTCTCCTCAGCAGGGTCTGAATGCACATGTGGGCTGTACTGAGCTCCTCGTGCTCCTCTTCCCCTCAGTGAGGCTGGCATGTTACAATGAGCTTCTTGAGCTTGGTTCCCCTTTGGGGCGAGGGGGCTCTGTTAGGTTCCTTCGGTTGGAGTCCTTCTTGACTGGGAACTGGGGGAAAGTGGCAGTACTCTCCCAAGCCTACTGACTGGTGCTGCCAGAACGAGCCATCCCTTACAATAGCTTGTGTAGCTGTTCACAGTATGATTGTTCCCATTCCTTTTCTTACACGTCTTTATGATCAGAGAAGTAGAGAATACTCTAAAAGCCACAGTGGTTGTCATTGGGTATCTTGAGTTAGTACCCATGGAGATGCAGGGAGCAGGTCGCACCTCCCAAGGATTGTTTCAGGTTCTGCAAACACAGGCAGACATCACTGTACCAGTTACACTCAACTCATTGTTTTTGAACCTCTCACCCACCATAACAGCTCGAGACTGACTTTCTGTTTAAAATGAAAGCTTACGCTCCAGAGACTAAGCCAGCATGGAAGAGGTTGCTGCCGAATCTAACCTTGGTGATCGTGCAGTGAGGTGTTCTCTCTCTGGGAATGAGAAGACCACGGAGCCTTGCTGGATCATGGAGTTCTCAACGTCCGTGTGCCATGGAGGTTCCGGGTCCCATGTTTTGGTCCTTTCCTAACCAAAAAAACCAAAACAAATAAAACCTCTTTCATGGTAGTACTCAGAATCTATACCTACTGATCACTCGGGCAGAGATTCCTTCTTGGTGTACCGTGTACATTGTCTTTATCACTTCTCAGATGGTGCAGAACCTTTCAGTTTAGAAGATCTTGTTGTTCTCTACCCCCTCTGTGTCACTTTCTAATACATGCTTTGACTTTTTTTAGGATTTATACAGTACCTTTTTGTACCTTATTTTTTTGTTTCTTATGATATCATCTGCAAAATATTTCCCCCTTTAGTACCATAATTTAAAATCCATTATTTAATAACGCTAAAATGCTTCAACTCTATTTGCCACTTAGTATCATACTGCACTGTTTCAACTAGAGCTGGTTAACATTGTCTGAATTTCAGATTTTTAATTTGGGGGGACCCAAAATATTTTTAATTAAAATTTGCAACCATTTTTAGTAGCAAGCTCTTCAGTGTTGCCATAATATGATCCAGCAACGATTTTCAAGAGAGCATACAGCCATACATTGTGGTATATTGGAGGGGTTTTATATTTCCGAGATATGTTATTTGTGAAAGGACACTTTTATCGTAGCAGCCCATAATAAGCATTTCTTTAAATATAATGTATCCAGGAAATATAATTCCCTATCCCAATTATTAAAATAAAGTTCCCTTGATAGTGAAAACACTACCGTCCCCTCCAAACTACAGTGTGCATGCATAAAATCTCAACTAGTCTTCAAGATGAGCCAACATGGAGTGTGGGGTTTATTTTGGCCTGTATATTTGTGTCATGCTGTTACCTTGGCTCTGCCAGTCAGTTTCTTTTTTGTGAATTGGTAGATAGCACCAAAAGGACTGTCTGAGGTACAGATTGCCTACATGCCAGTAAGTCTAATTGCAGGTCTGTCAATCTTGACAGTGTCCCTTTAACAGCATCCTCTTAGCTTGACATTGTATTTATAACTACCCTTAATTACCTCCATTAGGCAGTTTATACTTGGTACGGTTTGCTTCCTTTTCTGCCCTACAATTTTGTAAGGTATTTGTTCATTTTCAGTGTAAACTTGGCCTTCTACTCTTGAACAATCAAAGCATAAGAAGAAAATATCAACCCACTTACTGAGCCTTGCAGTAATATCTTGAAACAGTATCTCATACTTGCAAGATTGCGAGACTGCTGTAGACTTGTTGATTGTTTTAATTGACCTGACTTTCCTGGTCTTTCCCCAGAGTAGATCTCTTAAAATATTTACAAAGACTTTCCCCCCACAACTGAACTTCAGGCGGCCTGTCATTTCCAGATGTGTCTCATGGCCCACTTGTTCACAGTGTTGTGATGTAAGCAGCTTTCCTCTCACTGGGATTCCTCTTGTAAATTTGAGAAAAAGTCTGTTGGAGATTGGCTAATTTCTTTCTCTTGGTCCTTTGGTGTATGCTGTGCGTGATTTGGTTTCCGTTCCTTTTCAATTAGAAGATCCCTTAATGAAATAAAGAATAATTCTACTATAGCCTTATCCTCTCTAATTCTTCACTTCTATTGTAAGGTTTTACCTTGGCTGTGTGTTCAAACAGAAAAATGTAAAGTTTTATTATCATTTTCCTGATATCTGTTGGAGCTGGGTTTTTTCTTTAATCCTGCTCATACCCGCCGCAGGCTTCCTTAAAGTTAAATTCAGCTTGCCGCAACTCTGTTGAAGCCAGTAGAGGTGCACTCCTGACAGTGGGTCTGAATTTGTTCCAGCCTGTCTAGGCGTCAACTGTGTATCAAATGAACCATGTAGTGGGTTAACCTGCCAGACACTCTATCCTAAGTGTATTGTGAATATACCATTGTTAGCAGAAAGTGTATTCAAATAACTCATTTCACAATACAAAGCTTTTAGCACACATTTGAGAGTTTAAGAATCACTAGCATTAAGGACATTATGATACAAGTAAAGTGGAAATTTAGCAATATATTACAAACAGAGGCATAGAAATTTTCCCTCAACCATAGATTCTCTGATCAAAGAACTCAGGAGTACAGTCTATTAACTAATTAGGAACTTATCTACACGTTTATCCAAAGCTGACAAGAG